CTTCATAAGTACAATAATGGAAAATAGTTGGTAGAAGCCCCGAGCCTAAGAGCAAATAAATAATGTAGGTAAATATGCAACATGCGAAATAGATTTCTGCTGAGTTTTCACTAATAGTACATACCACTGTTTATCTTTCCTAGTAAAATAATAAAACATCAATATGCAACCTACCTGCAGATCATTTACTTGAAATGTATGGCTCAGTACATGCCCTCTTGCAGAGTCACCGAAGAATACAAATCCCCCATCTTTATTGGAGTTGATCTCACAGCTAAGGCTTCGCACTGCTGCTTGCTTAACCAACATCTGGACGTCAGGCAATGCTGCAGTTTGTGTGCTTAAAAACGTCGCTCCACTTTCATTATCCTTACTGTACAAGCCATTAGTTTGGCCAAGTGAATTGCAGGCGGAACACATTTTGCTGTCCAGTTGCTGCTGATCCAACTGTATCTCTTCCAGTTTTGTATCCCGTAGTGTTTGTGTACAAAATATAGCACTAGGCCCATGTGCCTCACAAAAGTGGCACAAGGCTATAACAGCGTTCATATTTATTTATTCGAACAAAGCGAGAAAATCTTACATTTTTTGCAAAAGTCAAACAAGTTTATGCAATCTTTTGTTTTGTTTTGGTAATCCACCCAATCGCTATGTTGCTGTATGGTTCATTCGCTCTCCAGCTGTTTGCGGTGCTGCCACCCAGTTAATAGAAGTTCTGATTAGAAATTCATCGCCGAGACAAAGAACGTAAATCTATCTAGAAATCTATATTTAGGTTTTTTTGGTTTAAGCAATGAGATTTCATTTAAGACAAGCATTAAGCATTAATTTTATACTATTCAAGCAAGTAAAACTGCAGAAGGTTTTTACCTGAACACCTTGTGTGCATAATATTCGATATTTTCTAACTTGTAATCTGTAATTTAACGCACTAGTCTCATTACCAAAAGCGCAACACTGGTGATTTGGAAGAAATAAAATCATTGCCCCTTTGTTCTTCCTATTCATTCTTTGAGTTGAATTCGCCCGATAAAGACGATATTGACAACGGCTCGGTTTATTTGTACTATTTCCAAAAGAAAAAGAAATATAGCAGCAATTGGATTTGTTTTAAATCAATTTTTTACTTTTGGGTTTGGATAAATTGAGAAATTTTCAAACGGAAAAGTTTAAACAAAAAGGGAACCATCCGTAAAATTAAGAATTGTTTTAATAAAATTTGCAAAATTTAAAGAAAAGAAGTGAAGAAGAAACCCATTCGCAAGCAAAGGAAAAATTTAAGGCAACGCAAAATCATAAACTGAAAAATCGATTAAAGGGGGGCAGACAGGAGGAAGACTTTCGTATCTGAGCGAAAATTCATTTGGTGGAGGTCAGATTGGTGTTCGTGCATCAAATAATAACAATAAACAAATAAAAGCTTGTAATAAAAGGCGGACTTTGGTGGAAAAGCAAAAAAA